TTATTATTATTATTATTTACCTGCACAAGGGGTGCAGGTAAATAGTCCTTGAGGGGTGAGGCTACTTCAGAAAAACAGGGGTAAATACACACAAAAAAGTTACTATTGATGAAAGGCCTTTGCACACCAAGTTGGGGGGGGGGGTAGTCGGGAGGTAGCAGTCCCTTCAGGGCAATCATGCTCTAAGCTTCTAACGTGGGCTTTAGGCCTTGCAAGAGAGGGCTGTCCTACCGCTGGCACTCCTTGCGGACAACCATGAAGAAACCACAAGCAAACTCACAGCGATGTACCATCTCTGTCAATAGATCACAAAGCCAACAGACGCTTAACAGTCCTCTTGATGCATGTGTATGAAAGATAATGTGCCTCTTTTAGCAGTTTTGCTTTTCAGCTACATGATTGAGCCTGTCCTGCTGTCACACATGCAGCAGATGGACTGTTTCAAGCTCCTATCATGTGGAGAAATATTTTGGGAATGTTGAACCTAAAAACGTGTATGTTGTGATGGTGTTAAGGGACAGCTGGGAGCTGGTTGGTCATGCAGAATAATAAAATAACCAGGCTATACAAAGAGACCCTTAAAAAAAGTAGCCTTTTATTTGAACCTCAAAGCTTTGGAAGTAAAGTTCATCATCTGGAAGGCAGTAAGTACTGGTTTTAAGGGGCTGGACTTTACTTCAAAGCACGCTGAAAGGACTCTGTTCTTTTTTATATTCCATACACAGTTGTGAACAGAGCATGTCAGCCCAGGGAAGTACAATTGGTAATTATGTTTCTGAATCTTCTGCAGACAGTGTAGTTCACTCTTGAGAAAACGACTCATGCGTCTACCTAACTGTACATTGTAAACATAATAAACACAGAAGCAATCTTCATATTTTTTTCTTTCTTCGAACATCTAGATACAGAGTCAGTTAATTCAGTTATACTTGCCATTAGGGATACAAAAGGCCTATCCACAGCTTGCACACGGTAAAGTTTAATTCCAGCTATGAAACTTCAAAAGAAAAACAAAAATGTTTTGAAATGAATAGAACATTTATGTGTATACTCTTTGACTATAATAGAAACTACACTGAAGGTCACTAACATCATTTATTGGTTGTTTAGTTCTTCCGGTGAGTTAACGTACAGCCTTTCACAGATGCATGGCAAATGCTATTAAAGTGAACACCAGACATTACCAATCGAAAAGAGAACATACCAAAGCTCTCGCCAACTCCCAGGTTCAGATTTTTCAAGATTTCTGTGAAATGTGACAGTTTTATTTAAATGGTATTTCTTTTCAACCCCCCCTCCACCCCCAGAGGTCACAGCTATGGTATGCTAACCTTAAAAATGAGACACATATAAACAGTGAAATACTGTACTGACAAAACAGTACATCCAGAATGAAACACTGGTGAAAGGTTCACAGATAAACACCATGGCCGAATTCCTTCATAGAGATTAAGTGAGGTGCTTTGTGGACACGTGATAGTTGACCTTAAAACCAGGAAAGCAGTCATTATTAAAATGGGATTACTGTAATAAAAACGATCTGTGGCAACTCTAATTTGGACATTGAAGACAGTTATAGAGTGTGTGTGTGTGTGTGTGTTTTTGTGCACTGGCACTGCTCACATACACTTGCACCTTATGAGAAAGTATTGGCAAGACATCGTTTGAAAGGTTCATTTCTCACAAAGCCTATGACACATGATTTTTCATATAAAGTGAGCACGTTTCTCTCAGGCGTGTCTGTGGTAAAAGGAGGGAGTGGCAAGACTGTCACTATGGTGAGCTTCTTTGGTGGGCTCAGGATAAATAGGGGAGAGGCAGATGGCTCCTTCTCAGAAAGACTCTCTGTAGCAGCCAGACTTGTGCAGATGTATTTACTCCTGTGCTTGAACTGCTAGGGTCTCTCTCACAGACAGACACAAACAGACACACACTCACACACGTAGGGTGATGTTCTCCTTGGGCTGTGTGTGGTCTTGGCAAGACAGCAGTTAAAAAGGACACTGAAGAGCAGGCAAAAAGTCACACATATCTTTTTCCCTTCATTGGCTGAGGCAAGAGTCCAGGTGCTACACACACAGACACACACACGCACACGAACGCACGCCCCAAGGGAATGTTTCACACAGTAAGTTCATGATTACCTTCTCGTTATCTCTGCTGCCGGAACATTCTAGCATCTTAAGAGCCACAGCACTTCTTGGAAACCAAGCCATCCCTGCTCAGAACTGGGGAGACACGTACAGACCCAGCTCTGACAGGAACATGGTGACAATCTCTAACAGCAACGCAACATGTTTTGTTTTTAACCACAAGTAACATTTGCCATAATGCGAAATGGAAGAATACCACTTGGAGGGGGCAGCTGTGGTGGGGAGTACACCCTGCCGACCCTTCTTCACTTGTCCATGTCCTCAGGAAGTCTGCACAGAAACCGTGACCATGAAGAGACTTTCAGCCCCTTTTGGGGGGAGGGGGCACACAGTCACATTCTTGTCATGCCTGGTGACCCACCCAGTCCTCTCAGTGCCAGCCTCAATGCCTCTAAAATTGGTAACCCCTCTGTGTCACCCTCAATGCCACGCCCATCCATTCTGATACAGCACCATTCCTACAAAAACGCTCCAGGCTCCTCACTCCAGCCCACCCTGAAGCACCTTCAGTGTCCCTAGTGGGGAAAGACCCCCCAAGACCCCCCCCCCTAACTTCCCTGCACTCCTCACCCACTGTGCATCGGCATACAAATTTGTTCTTTTTTTTCTTGTTAGAATAATAAAAGTAATAATAATAATAATAATCTATTATTATCATAGTTGTTATTATACGCACCCTCTTTATGAACATCTAAAATGCTGTTTCCTCACTGCTTGTTGCTCCAACATTAGATGAGGTTAGCTGAGGCCGACAGTTACTCTACATCCAGAGTATATATACACATATACACATGACTTTGGTTCAGTACCTAACATAAATATTCACTTCAGGTTATGGTCAGACACACAGATGCAAGGAACCTAATCATGCCAGACAGCTAAGCGGTCGGCTCGTGAAGCTAGGTAAAGCAAGATGGGAGGAAGTCATGGCTGGGTCAGGTTCTCCGCAGGCATCGGGCTGAGGATCCGTCTCTCAGACGAGCCTCTGTTGGTTGTAGAGGTTCCAGAGTAGTAAACTTTAAACCACGTCACATATACTTGTAAGGCACTATGAGGAAACAATGCTAAAACCTAAGACTAAGCCTGGTCAGGGCTGCACCAAGGTGCTAAAGGTGTCAGACTACACACACATGCACACTCGTAAAACACGTACATGTTCACTCACACATGCGCGCACGCACACACACACACGACCACGTAGTACATGCCTATGTTCTCATAACCACTGTGCAATTACATTGAGAGAAGACTAACATAACTACAGGTATCTAAATTCTTCACAAAATGAAAGGATGCAGACTGCTACATTCTAAAAAGCTCCTCCCCACCCCCCCACCAACGTAAAAATAAACAAACCTATGTTTTTCCCAGAAGTGAATAAAAAGGGGGGGGGGAGAGCAAAAAAAAAATCTATAAACACACTAGCAGAATCTGTCAGTCACACGCCGTTGCACTTCCAGTGGGACTCCAGCTGATCACTCATGGGGTTGGGGGGGAGGATTTTGGAAAAGGTTAAGTCAGTTCAAGGCCATCCTTAGTTTGCCAGCATTGAGCAGCAGGGAGCCTCCTCTCTCCCCCCCTGGGGGATTGTATCCGGCGAGAGAGTCCTCGGAGGAGGCCTGTACTTCTCATCTGTTTTTATTAGGCTCCAAGGCGCTTTTGGAAGGAGGGAAGTGGACAGGGAATAGAATCTGAGAACGATGCCGTATGGCCATGGACAGGCAGAGAGGCCTACAGGAAATATGGCAGAACAGCTTTAAAAGAAAAATCCTAACGGTACCCCCCTTCCCCCATGTGGTCATCTCTGTCACTGTCTTCAAGTGTGCTGGAGTTCTTCTCTGCAGGGAGAGGAGCAGGGCTTTGGGGGGCTGAGCAGCAGGGTGTCAGGCTCCAGTGTTGGGTCTAGAGGTACGGGTACTGGTTCACCTTGGTGGGGCTCAGGGGGTATCCAGTGTAGACGGCAGAGCCGGGAGACGCGCTGATGTAGGTCTGGTGGGTGAACTGGGCTTGGTACTGGCCATGGTGGAGGGTGGGTGAGGGCAGTACACGGTGGCCCATGCCTACGGGCACCATGCCCGCAGGGTATGCGCCGTGCTGGACAGCATGCCGGGCTGAGCCCTGGGGACCCACCAGGTGGGCCACAGCACCACTGGACCCCAGGGCAGCAGGGGCAGCATATGTGTACAAGTGAGGCTGGCCAGGCAGGTGCACGGCACCCGCGCGGGAGGGGCTGCTCTGGTGGAAGGAGTAGGGGGCCTGGGCCGACAGGGTGGGTGCGATGTAGGCCTGCTGTCGCCGGGGGGCAGAGCCACACTCAGCCATCATGTGTTGCTGTGCCTGCTGGGGGGGGGGGGCAGAGATGTGTTGCACACTGAATTCTGCTTGCCTATTTTAAATTTCTTTTTATTAACACAACATTTTGTATTAAACAAGTTTATTCATAAACACACACAGACAGTAGTTTTTCATTGGCCCTCAGTAGTGCTATTAAGTCTCATTCCCACACCATTTGAACAGATAATGAAAACAATAGTCTAATAAAAATATTCTTACTTGCAGATTCCTAAGAACAAAGATCCAGCACAAAGAGGGGGATTTGTGCAGTGGGATGTTTCCAGCACAGGGGGATTGCTATTACTGGGGGGACTTTTTGCAGACAATGTTGCTATTTCATGTTACGTCCATATTGTTGTATAGGGACCTAATTGCTCATTCATACACATGGCCCAGTCTCACCTGGCTGAGGTTGAGGGGTTGCTGCTGGAAGTGGTGTGGCCCAGGGCGCTGCTGCCGTAAAGGCCCACCACCGGTCACGCTTCCAGAAGAGGAGCCACCACTAGCTGCTGCCCCATTGGTGGATTTGAATTTGTAAGCAGAGCCCTGGTGTGTAGCTGTTTCTGCAAAACAAGAAATAAGTTAAGTTAATTTAGCGCATACTTACACTTGGCCCGTTTGCTTCATACTGTGCCCGATTGCATGACTGTACCCCCTCCACACTCCCCCATTGGCATGACGGTCACATAGCAATTAATGTTCTAGGCCCAAGCACGCTTTCTTCATTGTCGTCAACTTTTTGTGTTGAAGAAACCATAGAAAGAAAAGTGCCACTGCACAGCACAATGATGCTTATGATTATTATCCTTATTTTACGGCTTATTTGGAGTCGTTTTGGGCACGATGGCACATGGCCCTCTTACGGATTTATAGAATATGCCATGCAGCGATTTTCATTTAGTCACGCTGCATGTATAAGAAGAGTCTCATTCATCCATCTACCCATTCTCTGGAACCACTTATCCTGTTCAGGGTTGCGGGGGGTCCGGAGCCTATCTCGGACGCTACGAGTGCAAGGCAGGGAACAACCCAGGATGGGGCATCAATCCATCACAGGACATATTCACATACCATGCACTCACCTACACACACCTACGGGCAATTGGGTAACTCCAATTAGCCTCAGCATGTTTTTGGACTGAGGGGGGAAACCAGAGTACCCAGAGGAATCCCCTCGATGACATGGGGAAAACATGCAAACTCTACACACGGAACCCTGGCAGAGACACAAACCCAAATCCCACAGGTGTGAGGTGACAGTGCTAACCACTACACCACCATACCCAAGACAGTCTCATATTTTATGAAATCTCAAGAGATTTTGGGTGTTGCATCCAGTTGTTCTTGGATACATTCATCTGCCCAAAATTCCAGCAAACACTGCAACATTGCTGGAATGTTTGTTTGTCGCCAATTAATCCGTTCCTTTCGGGTCCAGTTCACATGCAGTGTAAACTGTGCATGTGTGTGCCAGTGGCATCATTGACATCATGTCTGTGTTCATATTTGGGCACGGTTAGCAATCACACTAGGCGTACTGCGCCCCACTCCAGCTGAAACTTGCCCCAGCCCACCTCTTCAAGCAGGCCGGGGCATGGTACAGAATGATCATACTAGTCAAACGAACTGTACTTTGGCATTCAAACATGCTTGGGCGTGGTACAGTTCGCCTAGTATGAGTACACCCTTAGTCACTGCATGATGCAGTTCGGCCAGCTGATCTTTTCTATTTGAAAACTTACAATTATACTCAATCAGCAAAGCTCCTTCTGGAACCTGAATGTGTAATTCCTGGCTACCGGCATAAAACACCAACCCAGGGGCCCCGTTTAATGCAAGCAATCCTGTGCTGCCCCCCTCCCCAACTGCCCTCCCATCAGGCCCCAGGGCTTCACCTGGCAGCAGACGCTCGCACTGGGCCAGTGACTCAGACTGGCTCTTGAGGGGCGGGACGATGATGGTACGGGGATTGCCGTTGCAGCAGTTGTCCAGCGGGGCACCTTTGGAGTCGAGGCTGTTGCCGTTGGTCGGCTGGGCCTCCACAGCGTACGGGCTGCTGCTGCTGCTTGAGGAGTCCGAGACAGGGGAGTCATGCACTGTCACACAGCTGATGACGTTCTTCCTCTGCTTAGACATTGTGCTGGAGGGAGAAAAGGAGGCAACCAGGTCAGGCAGGCATGATATGGCAGGTAATCCGCAGACAAGCTGGAAGGGCTTGCATGGGGTGGGCGTGGCAATCCATCCAGCAGAATCAATCGCAGCCTACCATCGCTGTCTGTCACACACTGGAAGTGTTGCAACTGTGAAAGCAAGCTCCCCAGAAGCCTCAATGACTATATCAAAAAGAAGGAATCATCCAATGATATTCTGATATGACCCATGCAAGCAGACTGCACTGTGTAGCTTAGAAAAAAAAAAAAAAAAAAGGTGAGGTCTGGAGAAAGACAAATGTTTTATATATGGCCCCCACAGAGAAGACTTTTATGAGTTTATTTTTAAAATTGGAAATATGGCTCTCAGATTCAGAATCACAGAAGCCTTTGCTGGAGTTGTTCTCTGACCTGGAAGTGTCCTGCTTCTGGTCATCCTCCTCGTCAGTGTCGCTGCTGATGGTGATGATGCTGACGGTGGGGCTGGGCGTATCGGGGATGACTATGGTCTGGCGTGGGGGTAGGGCTTGGGCCACGGGCGGGGCAGCTGGATGCTGCTGATGATCCTGCGTGCTACTGGTTGCCGAATTTCCCCAGCTACTGCAGGCCAGTGACGGGCCGCAGCCTGCGGGTGGGCCATTCTGGAGCATGGCACAGCGGGGTGGCGTATTCTCCTTAACACGCTTGGAGCGCTGGGGTGAGGGCAATGCCTGCGAGGACGTCACCTCATACGCTGACGCGTTCCTGCGGGGATAGGGCAACAGAAAACCACAACAAAGGAGAAATTAAATTTTTTTATTTACGTTGAGACACTATACCAGATTATCTATGCTCTCATAACTGCAAACCTGAGTATTTATGCCAACTCCTAAGACAGTATAATAGTATTTATACCACTAAAGGCACTTTTCATCTGCACCAGGTATCATACTTTTGGTACAGTAGTGTTGATGGTTTCCCTTTTCCATTGGCTTCTGGACAAGTTCCAGTACCAAAAGTTCCAGTACCAAAAGTACCAAACCGGGGGGGTACTTTTTTGGTACTTTGAGGTGGGACGTGTTCATCGTTGACTGGTTATGTCAATTGCCTGCTGCTGAAAATACAAATTGTCATCTTGGAAAAAAGTTATAAACTATATAAATGAAGCAAAAAAAGTAAGTTCAAAAGAAATACATTTCTCAAGGGATTTAAACTCCAATGATGAAAATGAATACGATTGGCTCAGAATGTGCATGGAGAGCTCATGCAAAAGCAGCGGTGGTAAACTTTAAACTGATTTTTAAACATAAATTATATAATCCTGAATAGGAACAATTACATTTACATTGCTTGCTAAAATTTATTTCCTGTGACAAAGTCAAAATGTTTTGTGAAACTAACCCCCCCACACTATAATGTCTGGACAGTATGATTTCATACCAGCTCACTCGGTCCTTGCGATGTAAAATTTGCATGTGAAGTACATGCAAAGCTGGTATTATCACACATCACCCAGCCTTATAATATACTATAGCCATTACTCTAATTCAGCACAAAATACCCTGCCTTGTGTTGTGATGTTATTCAACTGCAATACAAATTTTTACACCAGTAGAAAACCAACATCTTGAAGCACAGTACATTTGGTACTTTTCTGAGGTAGCAAAAGTACGGCACCTGGTGCAGTGGAACAGTACCTTAAGGCAATACACAAGGGTGTTTATGCTGCCTCTTGAGATAGTATACCAGAGTATATATACCACTGAGGCAATATACAAGACTATTTTTGCTCCCTCTTGGGAGAGTATATCAGAGTATTTACATTACCACTAAGAAGGGAATACACAAAGTATTTATACTACTGAACTACTAAATAATAATTACTGCTACTGACTGATAGCCCTGGATGTTTGATGTGCTCAATTTTCTGTGCAGAGTGAAATCATGAGGAGGGAAGGATCAGAGAGACAGCCTCTCACTCGATATGACAGCGTGCTCTGCTGCTACAGCAAGCAAGAACAAATTATGTTAATTTATCAGGGTACAGAAGTGCAGTTTAAGAACCTCTCTTTGGCAGTGTGGGAAGCAGCAGTCAGGTAGCCTAGCTGAATACCTCTGAAAACCTTCCAAGGTCCAGCTGTGTAAAAGGAAACACGGCACCCTCACCTGGCCGTAGACTGGTGCTGTTTATTTTTCTTTGAAGAGGAAATGCTGGTTGGTTGCTGTCGCATCACATGGGCAACACCGACATTCAGGGGTTGACTGGAGGGGAGGGTCACATGACCCGGGAGCAAGGCCGGCTGCTGCATTATGGGATTGTAGTGACTACTGTGTGGATGGGAGTTCCTGTAATGCAACAGTGTGGACATTGGAAATGCTGTAATGTCAAACTTATCCTACATCAGGTTTCAACTTTTACTTTTAATATGCAAAACAGGAAGCATATTGTGATGAATATGGTGAATGGACTAGTAATATTATCTGCTGGCTATGGGCACACTGTAGCCCCAACCTGTATCAGCTCTGTAAAGATATTCAGCCAGTGAAGCATTCTGTGGTTGAAACAAAATGCCCTCTCCAGAGGTAAAAAAAAAATCTAAATCCTATTGTACACAGTAACCACAAGGTGGCAGTGCAGAGAACTTTAGCCTCAGATTCAGAGAGTATCCAAAACAAATGAGGTTTCAGGCTGTCTTTCTGGGATCAAAGCTGGTCAGGAGGAGATATATATATCACACATACATACATTTTTAGGATATTCTAGCTGATTATACCAAAGCGTTGTATATGATGTGCAGGTTTATTTTTTTCCCACTCGTCCGGCTATTTCCTGAGGTAATTTAGGTTAAAAAATCAAGGGTCTGACATCTTCCCCCTCTTATCTGAATTCAATCCTGGTTGTTGATTAGTACTCTCTCCATCACAAGGGGGCTAAAGGGAAATGTGATGCATGTGCTGCACCCCCGTGATGTCTATCTCTTTCCCTGCTTCTCCTCTTGCCCCCCCCCCCCTCCCTTTGTGCAAGCTGACCCGCGGGCAGGCTCCTACCTCCAGCCTGCCAGCGGCTGCGCGGTCGCCATGGCATCAGGGATGATGGTGGCATGCGGCACCGAGGGGTGGGCCAGCTGCTGCCACGCTGGGGGGAGGAGGATCTGCTGCGTACCGCTGGGCCAGGGCTGCTGTGTGTGGCGGGGTGGGGAATAGACAGAGGTAAAGGAGGAAGGGAGAAAGGGGAAAGAAGAAGACAGAGATAAGAAGGATAAGGAAAAAAGGATAAAGAGCCAGAAAGCAAAACATAGTGGGGGGGAGGCAACAGGGAGGGGAAGAGAGAAACAATAGACTGTGATGATTACTGTATGGAGTCTCACAGCAGGACTGCTGACAACGGCAGCCATCATTACTGCACAGAGTACAGACACAGGGCACACCGACACCTACACACAGGCCGTGAGTGTGCAACACCTGTGGGAGGGAGTGCCTGCCTACCCGCTTGCCGGCAGTGAAGCTAACCCCCTTCCCCTCCAAGAAAGCCTCAGATCCCAGGATCCACTACTGTCACACCAACCTACGGCCAGGTCAGTATGACCATGTTCTAACATCTCACAGCAGCACTAATTGTTAGCTGCTCCAGGTTCTGCTAATGGATTGCTCCCGAGGTGTGACTGTTCCCCTTGTCGCCACAGAGGGGACTCTAGCCTCATGCACTCTTTATGCGAGTGGACCTGCAACCATGGTCTGTTCTGGAGATGAGCTGGTGTTTGCTGGGCTGCGTGGTCTCTTTGGAGATCGCTAGAGCTGAAATTAAGGGGAAAACACACAGCTGCCAAACAGATGGCAGTCTTTAAATCTGGGGCCAGGTAAAGAGGGAAGCTCAGCTCAGCTTGCCTCATAATTACTTTACTGAAGTAAACAATCTCATGGTAAGTTATCTGGTTCAAGCAACCAAAATGGTGTCTTTAAAACTTGCAAAAACATGTGTACTTACAATCCAAAGAAATCAAGTGGATCCATGTGAGCCTGGAGGGGGGAGAAGTGGCTAGGTTTTGGGGGGATGCGACACTCAGAACCAGCACTTACTGATCTCAGGTTTCCAAGTTATCTGGGCTCCTGCTTGTTTAAGTGGCCTGCTTGTAATCCAGAGTGGGGCATTTAGCTCTCCTCTGCCCTAAGCCATCACTATGGCAACCCCTCCCTCCCATCTGGTGAAGGTGGGGGACACTTTGTCACCATGGGCTGAGGAAGTCCTCTAGATGCCCCCTTCTAGTGTTTATCCATTTTCTGCATTCTGGGCCATGATAAAGCCTTGGTCTGAGCTGGGCCCCCTTCCCAGGCCACATCAGCCTCAGCAGGACTGGGCGATCAGACAAGAGCCTGGACTGCAGCATCAGTGCAGGCCACTGTGGGCCAGACACCATGGGGATGAGTGGGCTAACACATACCAGTAGATGGGGCAACCCAAGTCCTTTTCTAACCCCCCAACTCATACGAAAAGCTGTGCCCTCTAAGGGTCAGTTTATACTCCACGTGTGCAATATGTGTGCTTACGCATGCTATTGCTATGCTAGCAGTGTTGCTGCTCATACCTATATGTGTAGTTTACATCAAAATTGAAGATTAAAAGTTATGTCCACCAGGGGCAGCACGAGAGGACCCATCTTTGTCAGCTCCTTCGTTTCTGGTCTAATTTGTTTGCATGAGGTTGTGGTATGAAACGTTTTACACTTGCCACCTCCACAGTGAGTTGCTAATTCTGTAAGTACTGCTGCAGCATTCTCTACATTCTACCCACTGTGCCACATATTGGTACTTTGCTCTGTCATATTGTTGTACTATCTCATGTTAAATGTTGCTAGATATATCATAGTAGTTAGTATTTTGTACTTGCTGTTATGGCTGCACGATATTGGAAAAAATCAATTTTTCTGATAAATATTGCAATATTTATAAAGCAAAAAGGAGTTCAAAATAAATCAATTTCTTACAAACACATATATGACTGATTTAAACAACAAGGATTAAAATGATAGGCTCAGAAAAGTGCATGCAGAGCTCAGGCAAAAGCAGTGGCGGCAAGCTTTATACTAATTTTAAACAAATACCAGATATACTTGAAAAAGAATTATCATTAAAATCGCAAAACATGCTAAGTTTTGTTTTCTGTAACAGAATATAAATGTTCTAGTGACACAGAAAACCCCCACTCTTAGCAAATTTTATCACCAAGATTTTTAAATCCCAGAACTATTTGAAAAACATCGCTTACAAAAATAACTTAAACCGCAGTATAATGTACATACAGTATGAAGGTATGCAAAAGCCTGATCTCAACCCAACTGTGAGAATTGCATGTGCATAACTTCCAATGTCAATATTAATATATCACCCAGCCCTACTTAGTATTATTTGTACTGTAACTCTGCATCTTGTTAATTGTCTGGAATCTGTGGAGAAGTCATTCAAGTAAGAATTTCACTGTACTTTGTACATGAGACACTGCTTTCCTAGCTCAGACTGAATTTGGAAGCAGAAGAAACTTAAACTAACGTAAAATTTTGAAGACACTGCACACAAGGCAGTATAGTGCTTGGAATTTTTTTCTCTTGCCTCTGAAAATATTCAGTTTTCAATATTTTCTGGCCACTCAATCTTAAAAAAAAATTAGATGGTACTTAAATACTAACTGTACCCTATATGAACGAATAGTCCCGTGACAAAAGGTGACCATACCTCCCCCAAGATTTTTGGGGCTACTTCATTTTGCAAATGCATAGCATTAATTCTACATGCACATGGAATGAACACAGAATATGCATGGCAGCCACAATGCATGAGCATTGAGTATAAACTGGCCCTCAAGCAACAGATTTACCACATTTGTTTTTCTTGTCATACAGACCTCCCAGTAATAGTATGGACTAGGACACTTGAGGCCTGATTCTTAGAGAAGCCTGCACTGAGCTTAATTTTTTTTTTTTTTTTTTTTTAAATGTGTCCTGTCCGGCAGCTTTCGCAAGCAGAATAATGGTCTGAATGCACTGCTGTGTCAGACATATTTGCTTTACCATGAGGGGCTCTATAAACTCTGTATAGGCCCTTCATGTTGGTCAATATCTTTTTATTTGTATATTTATTTGATCTTATTTAATACATGTAAAATATTCCAGTTGCCGTGCTGCCCGGAAGGGAGTGATAGATTAGGAAAATGAGTGAAGAAAAGGGGTAGGGAGAGAAATGAAAGAGAAAGAAGGAAAGAGAGGAGAAAAAAAAACAAAAAAACACGAACAAAGGCACAGAGAGGCTAAGAAATTAACACATAAGGCAAAAAAAAAAAAAAAAACGCATTTGAAATACAACCAAAAAAGGATAAATACAAAGACACAACCAAAAATAAAGAAAATAAAACAGATATACAGACATACAAAATTGCAGCATGTGCTTGGAAGGGAGCATGGAGGTGTATTTGCATGTGTGTTCATCTGTTTGGGGGAGGTGTTTGAACATGTATGCGTGTGTTGGGTGCGTGTGAATTTCTCCATGGAATGCCCTTGATAGCGAGGGTGGGGGGCCGCAACCACACCCCACAGGAACCAGAGGCCGGCGGAGACAGGCCCAGGAGACCCAAGGCGTCCGCAGCCCCCCATGAGCACGGAAGAGCCAAGGCCCCACGTTCCCACGACAGCGGCGTCCCCACCCCAGCAGGAGGAGGAGGGAGGCCCCAGGCGCAGCCCCCGCAGCCAAAAGGGCAC